TAAGTCCAACACAAGGTTGTCAGCCCACCTGGAACAATTAATAGGGTGACTCATCTATCCTACCTAAACAACACACAGTTTGCTCAATATTTTTTTCCTTTTTATGTAAAACTAAAACACACAACTAATACCTGGAATAAGAAGAACATGAAGAAAAGGACTCACAAGGTAAGCAAATCAAGTAATTTTAAATACAAGGAAAGCTAATCAGGTTGTCTACTAGCAATTGAATAAGGTATTTATACTGGTTTTCTTACAAGAAAAAAGGAAGATCCTTGCATGATTTAATTACAGGACTTCCATCTTTCAAACTGCAAATGCCAACTGCAGTTATTTCCTTTCCAGTTGGGAGAAGTTTCTCTTCATCAAGCAGACCAACCTTCAAAGATTAAAAACATTAAAAATAACTCTTTAAAAAAATTGCATTTAAAATTGAAATTAAAGCATTACAAGGTGGATTTTTCTCATCAAAACCAATCAGAATCCCTCCACACTTCTTTATATTGTACTTACAGGATATTCGTGGCCAAAAAGTGCCTGGAGAAAAGTATAAGGAGAAGCATGGATGGGCTGCAAGCGGTGATAAACTGTTGTAAGAGGTAGTGGATGTCTTGATCCTTCCATGTTCACGATGACATAATCAGATTGAGGCCACCTTCCAGTTTCAACAAGAATAAAAGGCACCTGATCAGAAGATGTAATGTAAACCAACATAATGAATATGCTGAACTTCACAAGTAAATAAGCACGAAATCGTTATTAAGGTCACAAATGCCAGCAAATAAACTTGCAGTGAGCAGAATATCAACCATATAGCAACTTTTAACCCCATAAGCACGTATCTGGAGCTTTCTTACATAATTCAACTCCAGGGTACTTGGATCTCCAAAAGTAAAGTGGCAGGAAAATGAGATTATACAACTACTTAGTGCAAGGACACTATGGCTAGGTTCCTTTGGAAGTTAAGAGGGAACAAATTAAATTACACATAAAGTGGTGGTTAGTTTTGGATCAATTACAAGGACACTATATATCTCTATCTCCTTGGTGTACTGAATCAGGAAACTCTTCAAATATAAGGATAAATAAACAACCTTTTTCAAAAATTTTTTTGCCATTTCAGAACTTCTGAATTTGAACAGGTAGCTTGGATTCTATCCAACTTATCTCCTTGGTTAAACGTCATACTTCAAGGTCAGGTCAATCCCATTAGTCTTGGGAAATTTGAACCTAAGTCCATTATTATCTCCAAACATCTACCATTATTAGCCCTGTACATGGAAGTTCTTGTATTGGTAAATACAAGTGAGAGGAAAATAATTGCCATCGAGAATGTACAAGGTAGCTCCAAATGCTGATAGTTCCTTGAACCAGTTTTGCTCACAATCAATCTAAAACTAAATATTCAGAAACGGATTTTGATGATAGAGCTTTAAAACAAAAAGAGTCTAACCAATACCGATATTGAATCATCAAATGCATTTACGTATTATGTATTGTTTGTGAGATGCAATACGCATAGCTTAGGGCTTTGAATGAGAGCAAAAAAGAAGTTTCTAGATCAATTATTACTAGCATTATCATATTGGAAACTATACATTGACAACGAATAAGTACTCTGTACAAAATCTGATAACATAAACAAACGCAGCATGTAACATGACCAAAGCACATGACTGACTTTAAAAAAAAAAATCAAAAGGAGAAATAAAATTACTAATGATGATACCATTCTAACTGTCGATGACTCTTGCTCTTTCCATGATCTAACAAATAAAGAGCGTAAGTCAGAAGTCCATCCAAAAAATCCCCTCCACTCATTGTATATACACTGCAGTGCAAATAAAACTCAAGTTATAACCAATACTCCCAAAAAAAAAAAAAAAAAAACAAATTAGCAACTTGAAGAAAAGCTCTGGTTAATCATAAATTAAACTCTTTACCACAAAAAAAAAAAAAAATTTATATATATATATATATATATAAACACACACACAGAGATAAGTTCTCTTTAATCCACTATATCTATCACTAAATTATGTACTTCCAATATCTTCTTCTCAGATACGTAACTCAAATTTAAAGTTAACCAAGTCTCCTCATGAAGATTATACATTATAAACCTAATCTCGTCCAGTTCATAAATAGGGCTTATCAGATGCTAAACTCAGCATTCAACAGTAACACACACAAACTCAGAAAGGAACAGTGGCATGAAATCTGATGATTGAACAAATTTTACCGTTTGAGTTCGCTGCAAAATAACGCCTTTATCGCCAGACTCCTGAGAGACGAGGACACCGGAGGGTGCGGGCCTAAGGCTCTTCCAGTTGGTATCAAGAGCCGATTTTGCCTCGACGCAGCCGCGGACGATCACGAGCTTTCCGCTCTCGGATTGTTCGTTAGCACTATCATCGTTATCTGATGGTAAAGTGAGGACGGAGCGGAGATCGGAGACGCGAATTGAAGGTGCCTGCTCAATTTTGCGTAGGGCAGAGGAATTCGAGGTGAATTTGAGAATACTCCGCACCGCAACGTATGCTAGGCCTAATCCTAGCACCGCACCGTCAGCCGCCAACGCGAGCTGCGACAGCACCGCAGCTGCCGCCTGGTCGTGTACGGACATGGCCGTAAAATTCAGAAGTGGTTCATCACCTTCTGATCCCTTTTTTTTTTTTTTGGGCCCCCTTTTTCTTTTAAATCAAGCTTACGTTCCGTGAGGATTTAAGTATTTTCTTTTTCCCATCCAATTGAGCAAATGACGGAAGAATCAAAGAACGAAGGGAGGAGGTCGTTAATGATTTATTAAGGTTAATTAATAATAGGAATTAAATGAGGGTATTCCGGGCAAACTAGGGAAGTTTTTTTTTTTTTTTTTTTTTTTTTGGGATGTTTCAGTTTATCAACATGAGATTCTAGAAGGTTTTGGACTCCCCTATTAGATTTAAAAAAAAAAAAAAATTTAAACTTTACACCAAATATTAACAGATTTTTGGGCTTGAAAACAACCTTTAAAGACTTGCAGCGACAAGGGCTTGAGCAACTAGCTAATGTCCTAATAACTAATTAGAATGAGATTCACGATAAATAAGTTAAATTTTAGCAGTTTGAATCAATAATAATTAAATAAAAGTTTGAGATACGTGAAGATGAAGTTACTTGAACTCAGTTATACATATTGGCTGTTTTAGTTTGACTATTATCTAATAATCATGCCAAAAAAAAAAAAAAGTCATGCAAAATTCGAACCAACTTGTTTTCTTTTTGCAGTTTATTTAAGAGGGGCTGTAGCCTGCGATCGTTGGATTTCCGCGAAATAACAGAGGGCTCGGTAAAGCACTCATTGAGGGTTTGGGCCAAGCGATTTCTTTGGAATTGGGCTTGTTACAATATACAATATGTGTCGTTATAGTTTAAATACCTTTTGCCATCTTTTGAACTTTCAATTTTATTTTTATTAAAATTAATTTTTATCCTAATCATTTAATTACATTTTGCCAACATAAGTACTCATAAGTACCGAAAAATATTATAACTATCAAATTACCATAATCATATAAACAAGAGTTTTTTCATGAAAATTTTATATAAATTTTTTGTATGTAACAAACACAATTTATACAAATTTTGTTTATTTTAATTATTCTCTAATTGTACATACATTGGGTATGCTCTTCACACTAGTTTAATTATTGCGGCTTGCAGCGTAATACTAATGCAATTAGAGAGAGTGATAATTCAGGGGATAAGATTGAACCAAAAGTAAGAGGATGAAAGCTGCATTTTGTGAGTAGGTTTAGTATGCATAGTTATAAAATTCGGCTCGACCTAGCGGTTGAGCTAGTCAAACCAGTGAATGAATCGGCTATAGGACCGAACTATGTCACCAATTAGATCGGACAAGTAACAAACTCATTAACCAGTCAACAATCCGACGATTCAATCAGCATATTGGAAAAAACTATCTATCTATTGAACTGCTGACTTAAAAATTTTATTAACTTTATAGTTTAAAATATATCGTTATATCATATAATATGGCTATTGCCCAACCCGTGATTGAACTGCTCAATTAGTGGTTGAACCAAAAACCCCCCACTGAATCGGTCACATCTTTGAGTCGAGGACCGGACCAAATTTTATAACTAAGCTAGCATGTCTTTCATGCGTCGCGCGGTAGTGGTGATGGATGGACATTGGATAGACTATTTCTAGCTACTATCAGAATAAAGCAAAAGCAGTTGGGCTGAACCCTAGACCTTAAGTTGTGCACTCTAGGGAACGGAGGGATGCGGCCAGTCGGAAGAAGATCAAGGCTGAGGTTGCTTTTGTTTGTGAACCATTGCAAATTTTGCAAAAGCACTCAACTCGAACGACCGCAGGAAGCACCACTTTCTTTCTTTTCTTTCTTTTTGGGATAAGGGATTGTCCCTTTTTTTTTTTTTTTCTTTATGTTGTTCAAAATGTCAAATAAACTTTTTCTTTACTAAGCATTTACCAACAAAGTGCATCTGCGCTACTGTTAGACCACAAAGAGAAATCTAATTGCCACATAACAATTACAATAGTCAGTTTTGTGGAAATTTTGCATGCATGTCTCTCAATCTGATCAGAAGATCATTGACTCCCAACCGTGTATAAGCAGCTGCTGATCATATTGATAATACCAGTTATAATAGAAATCTATAACTTCCCCGCTATGCGGCATTTAACATATATGAATATAGTCAAGGTAGTAAGAAACGCAAATAGTAATGAGCTGAATGAATAGTACTAGCTTTACAGTTCAAATCCTTGAAATAAATTGCAGGCTCTATGTCCGTCCACCTGAGTAATTGGCCAGCCAAAGGGAAAGGGTACTTCAATTCGCAGCGACAACAATCACTACTGACTTTTATTTTACAGAGTACTACTACTCCAATAAATAAGGCACTTGTTCTGTGATCTCAGTCAATTCTCCTTCTGTCAAATTTAATACTATGCGCCCGTGAAATGTGCATTTAGTAAATGGAAGCCATTCGTCGAGGAGGATCTCTCTGTCTTTCTACTAGCGTACAACCTCCTCGTTTTGCGGAGGAATTCAGTAGAAATGCTTTGATGGATTCATTCACCGAGTACGAGGATTCCAGGTTTGCTGCATGCCCGGCGTTCTCAAGTATTTCCATCTTTGCCTTTGACCCCAAATGTCTGCAAAATCAAATCCAAAATTGTCGATATATATATATATATATATATAGTCATGGTCCTCGGATGAATCGTACCGCCAAGGTTGTAGGTCAGGAAAATTAAGGAGCAAATATAAGGGTACCTTATGTGAGGCCCCAGTTCGTTCTACGTTGATATATTCATTAATTGGGCGGTAACGTTTGGTTTTGGGAGTATTTCGAAAACTCTAAGTAGGGATTAAGATTTAAACCCTAAGTTCCGGTTAAGATTGAAAACCCGTTTTCCTACATTTTCTTTATTAGAAAATTCCCCAGATAATTTTTATGAGTAAATATAGTTTTTAGATGATTTTTCTAGTATTGGTTAGATTTTGAGAAATTAAGAACGTATATCGGACGTGGGACCCACTAGTGCGAAAAGTTCGGAAAAATTCGGCCAATTAGGTTAAATTCCGGATACTGTGTAAAATTTATCGGGTGTTAAGAGATAAGTAGAGTGTGTGAAGTGAGTGATGTGAGAGAGAAAAGGAAGATAAGAATGCATTAATGAGTGTGACAAGTGTCACAATATGATTGGTTGGAATTTAAGAATTACTATTCACAATTTTGACTTTTTTGAACAAAGGTTAAATATCTCAAAAATCATTCAAAATTCACCATTTTTCTCTCCTTGGTGGCTGGCTCTCTAAGCTCAAAGAAGGGAGGAAATTTTCCATCTCTCAAGCTTCCATAAGCTTCAATCTTCCATAAACAAAAGCTTAGACTAGATTTCACTCCATAAAATCTTATCTTCTAGTGCTAGTAAGGGTTGTGGTGAAGTTTGTTTGAAGGTCTAAGGTGCCCAACATCTTCCTCTCTCTTGGTTCTTGGTAAGTGAAGCTTGAAACACCCTACTACACCTAATGATGCTTATGTTGTGCTTATTAGTGATAAGAGTGCTGAAATTTCTGGTTTTAATCTTGGTTTGAAGTGATTTGGTGAAGTTTTCCATTTTATGATGAATTTTCTGGTTTAATATGAATGGGATGTTGTGGCCTTGTATGATGAATGGTAATGGACTATAATGACTCTAGTAGGTGTGTTTGATAAGAATTTGCAATCAATTTTGGGTTTGGAATGAATTGAGAAAAGTTAGGGTTTGATAATCCCCAATTCTGTCCGGTTTTGGATCATAGGGTTAGAGGCCGAATTTGACTTTACTCAAAACATGAAATTTGTAGGTATTGATGTGTTTGAGGTGCCTGTAAAATTTCAGGTCATTTGGTTTAGTGTAGAGTGAGTTATGACGGAATTACTGTAGCTGTTCTGCTTTGGACAGAATGCGAAGACTGCGATAGTAATTGTCCATTTTGACTGATTTTGGTTTGGATTTTGAAGTTGGTGTCTTCTGATGAAATGTACCAGGATGTCTTAGCTAACCTATGCCTTTGGAATTTCGGCATTTGGACTTGTATAGACTAAGTTATAGTCATTACAGTTTTATGTGATTTGCAAACCTGTTTTGGTAATTCTGGATTTGTATTTTGCATATTTGACCTAGTTGTGCTAGGATTTGGACTGAGTGGCCTTCTACATTGTTGTACTCCTGTTTCTTAGCTTCGAAACGGTGGGTCTTACACACCCATCTGATAATCGTAGTGAATTTGGTGCCATTACCGCATATTAAGGTCAAATACGGTTTGTGATCCTGTTTTGCAATTCTGGTATAGTGTCTTGCATTTTTGACCTTGTTACATTCAAAATTGGATAAAGTTTCCTTCTTCAACATTGTAGCCCCTTAAGTCCTGGATATCCCTGTAAATTTTCAGGTTAAACGGGTTAGTATATCCTGAGCTATAAACGAAATACTCAGACCTGTTTTGACCGTCAAATTCTGTTACGTTTTTGGACAGTTTATGACTGGAACTTTGGCTTCACATTTGACTGGGTTACAAGCTGTTTGGGCTTGCGACCAAAACACCAAACTTATATCCTTATATCAGAGCTTTCTAACGCCCTTGAAATTTCATGAATCGGATTTATAAAACCTGAGATATAGTCGAGCAAACAAGGCCTGCCCGTGAAAATGACTAGAAATCTGTTTTGGTCCTGATGACCAATTTCCGTTCCGAATTTGGATTGCCGACCTTCATGAAAGTTGTTCCATTTGGAATGAACTATCTAACTGCCAATTTTCAGCTCTTTTGACCATGTGTAGCATAGAAAACAGTTAGCACTCAAAACTGACCATTTGTGCATTGGCCAGATTTCGTAAGTGATTGTGTTTGGTTCATTTGGGACTAAAGCCTCCAGTTTCAGTTCTGGATGTCTTCATAACAGTTGTTGTTCATCCTTTAAGCTTCGATATGGCGTCTCATACGCCTTAATCCGATATTCGTAGCTCAACTTATGAGTAAACTAGAAACGAGTGTCAAATCTGCCGTTTCCGTTTCCGTCTGTCATATTTACGTGCGCGCGTGTTGTTTTGCCGTTTTGCTTGTTTTGGGCATGTTAGTGGCCGTTTGTGATAAAATCTTCTATTTCAGACAGCGGTGAGCTAGGCGGAGCCGGTGGGGCCCACTACTAGCGAACGCGCGAAGCGATTTTGCTTCCGTACTACTTTTGGTATTTTGAGTAAGTATTCAGGCCGGTTTGGTGTGTTTTCTTTGCTATGTGTTTGAGATATGTGAAAAGGGCACTTAGGCGAGGGTGTACTTTATCGCACTCGACCTAAACCCTAATTTGAATGTATAATTGTACTTGGCATATGTATATGAACCTTTTGGAACCAAAACCCTTGAACTTGTGGCTCGGGGCGACTTTCGAATAAAGTTTGTGAAGTTTGCAAAGTTTGTGATTTTGAATAATTTTGTGAAGTTTGTGAGTTTGGGGCGAACTCTTGACCTGGTTGGACTATTCGAGCCGGTTAGGGCTTGGTCGAAGGCAGTCCAACTTAGTCTGAGGTCACCAAGTTTGTAGGTTCATGTTATCAACCAATTTTGTAAATCCGGTTCACCGAGAAGGTGACCAAGTTTGTGACCCGAGCTTGTGACTCAAGCTCAAGTTTGTGATTTCGTTCGCCCGGGCAAGTTTGTGAGGTGACTGGCCAGTGAGGGTGATAAGGTGTCGGTGGGTGTACAAGTGAAGTTCTACGGACTATTATTTGTGGTCGACGGAGTGTCGGCAGGAGATCATGCATGGCACATGAATTGGCTTTGGAGCCACCCGTATCCTTATTATATGATGTTGTTCTTTTCTGCTTTTGCTTTACTCTTATTGTGTAATTGTTGCTACATGAATTTACGCTTTCGCCCCTGTTTACTTACTAAGCATATAGCTTACCCCATTCCTTTTGTTTTCCTTAGCAGGGGCCGACGCGGGGACTTTTGGCTCGTATACTAGTATAGTTAGTTTGGCTTGTAATAGTTGAACAGTTAGGATGTTTGTTTTTGTTTTGGTGGTTTGACTCGATACTTTTGGAGAATGGAATTATAACTCTTTTGGGATTGTATATATTGTATTTAGAGCTCTTTCGAACTTTAAGTTTTGAGTCCTGGCGCGAGCTAGGCAGGCGGCCCGCCGATACCCTTGGGTTCGCCCTTGGGAGAAGTGGGGTCGTCACACCTTACCTATGCAATTCACGTCCGCAAGCAAGAGGGAAAACCATGTCCTTGTCACCCCAGATAAGCAATGTTTCCTTAATCACGAAGAAAGAGATCATATCATGCGTACATATCCATATGTGAGTGACTTTTCCGTTGTCTCTCATCCTAAAATGTAATAATGCATGCTTGATAAGCTAGCGGATATATCACTGTACTTACTTAATTTCTCTGGAAAAACACACACACACACACTCCTAATCTGAGAGAGATATATATATATATAGTGGGAGTGTGAGATATGATCAGAATCCACTACTAATGTTATTTGCCAGCAGCAGCATGAATAAATGAACGAACGAATGAATGCAACATTACTCACCTGATCTAAAATTGGAAGACTGCTATCCTCTTTCTTTGCTAACAAGTGTTCCACTAGCTCACTTTTCTCTTTCCGGATGGTGTTGCACATCACCTTATAATTAAGAGGATGGAAATTAAGATGATCATCTCGATCCTCTCATATTATATTAACTAACAAATCTCAAAGAAATGGGTATCTTGATTCTTAAGAAAAGAAAACAGATGGATACACGAGAAAGTGAGTGGTGGACCCAGTGGAAGGAAGCATCATGGGTTTACAGTTTATGACTGCTACGTAACCGCACATTGGACGGAAACTGGATTTTCGCATGTATCAGGCTATTTATTAGACTATTAGCTAGCAGCGTTATCCGGAAGAACACACGCCAGAAACGTGGAACTTTTTATTCCAATTGCTTCGGCTACTAATTAATTAATTAATGACACTACTAGTAAGTGTAAAACTTCCAAATTCGACATTTTATTTTACTATAACTCTTGCTATCACGGCAACCGATGAAGCACCATTAATTATTAATTAATTAAAAAGAATAAAGAAGAAGCACGGGCTAGTAGTGCTGAGAACTTACGGTGATGAACTCCTGGAGGAAATAATCTGGGACCCAGTTGATAAAATTGCAGTTGCATAAAGACAGAGTCACTAACAACCGTAGATCCCCCGGTTTCCGAGGCAGGAGTATGTCCACAGCATTCCTCCCTATATTCCTGAGATGCTCCTTGAAGAAGCGCAGAGCTTCCCCGAGGAGAGCTGACTGATCAGCTCAGGGTGTCGATGGGAGAGCTGATCCAAGACCTGCAAAACAGAGAAGAGGGGCTAACAAAGGGGCCCCGAGGTGGTCCCCGAGGGCACTCCGACGGCCAAGTTAGTTCTCCGGTGAGTAGGGTTCACGGGGAGTGGTAACAGCCGGGGGTAATTGGCCTATATCGAGCGTACCTTGGGCAATGGGTGTGTAGCACTATTTATACCTGGGCCAGAGTCCGACCTCCGTACGTTCCGGGACCTTCCTGATATAATCTCAATCCCGCGCCGAGCGGGATCTCCTCCGACCTCTGCGGGACGGTCTCCTGATCCCCCTGGAGCCCTAGCGGGGGTGCGGCCCAGGGCGGTAGCCAGGAGCCTGGGGCCGGAACCCAACTCGGCTATACCTGGGCTGCCACGTGTCTAGGCCCAATACAGGGCCTCTGCACTAGCCCCCTAGATTAGGTAAGGCTTCCAGGCAAACCTAATCTATACTCTGTCACGTGGGAGACCAGCGTCGCGCACTGCTCTGCCCCGGTCACCTCTGGTACAGTGCTGTCACTGAGAAAACCGCGCCGATCTCCTAGGTCGAGCGTCAAACTCCCAAGTTTCGACAAACTTGATCAATGCGTGCCGACCTCATGGGACCGAGCATCAAATTAACACTAACATGGTTTAAGCCCCCGACTTTTAAAGATTTGAGCCTTGCCGACCTCTTGGGTCAAACAAACTCATTCAAGTTAAGGCACAACGTGCCGACCTCTTGGGGCCGAACATCGCACTTTCCGACTTCAAAATTTCAAGCCGTGCCGGCCTCTTGTGGCCGAGCATCATACTTTGAAGGCAGTCACGCCAACCTCCCGGGTCGAGCGTCAAACTCTGATTTTAGCGGATATGCCAACCTCTTGGGGTCGAGCATCACATTTCCAAGGCAGTTATGCCGAGCTCCTGGGTCGAGCGTTGAACTCCACGATTTTAGCAGACGTGCCGACCTCTTGGGGTCGAGCATCACATTTTCCAGGCAGTCATGCCGACCTCCTGGTTCGAGCATTACATTCTCAGGGCAGTTATGCCGACGTCCTGGGTCGAGCGTTGAACTCCATGATTTTAGCAGACGTGCCGACCTCTTGGGGTCGAGCATCACATTTTCCAGGCAGTCATGCCGACCTCCTGGGTCGAGCATCACATTCTCAGGGCATCACATTTTCCAGGCAGTCATGCCGACCTCCTGGGTCGAGCATCACATTCTCAGGGCAGTTATGCCGACCTCCTGGGTCGAGCGTTGAACTCCATGATTTTAGCAGACGTGCCGACTTCTTGGGGTCGAGCATCACATTTTCCAGGCAGTCATGCCGACCTCCTGGGTCGAGCATTACATTCTCAGGGCAGTTATGCCGACCTCCTGGGTCGAGCGTTGAACTCCATGATTTTAGCAGACGTGCCGACCTCTTGGGGTCGAGCATCACATTTTCCAGGCAGTCATGCCGACCTCCTGGGTCGAGCATCACATTCTCAGGGCAGTTATGCCGACCTCCTGGGTCGAGCGTTGAACTCCATGATTTTAGCAGACGTGCCGACTTCTTGGGGTCGAGCATCACATTTTCCAGGCAGTCATGCCGACCTCCTGGGTCGAGCATCACATTTCCAAGGCAGTTATGCCGACCTCCTGGGTCGAGCGTTGAACTCCATGAATTTAGCAGACGTGCCGACCTCTTGGGGTCGAGCATCACATTTTCCAGGCAGTCATGCCGACCTCCTGGGTCGAGCATTACATTCTCAGGGCAATCGTGCCGACCTCCTGGGCCGAGCCAGCGTGCTCCCTGGTTTTGACAAGCTGCCTCAAAGTAAGTCACGGCGTGCCGACCTCTTGGGCTCGAGCATCACACCTTCAAGACGGTCATGCCGATCTTTTGGGTTGAGCGTCAAGCCCCCCGTCTTTAACAGGCGTGCCGACCTCTTGGGGTCGAGTATCGCACTCTCAAATTTCACAATTTCAAGCCGTTTGCGGACCTCATGGGGGGTTTTTCCGTCCTCTCCGCTCTCCGAGCCCCCCGCGCCCCCGGCCGCCTCGGTCTCCGCTCGCTAGGATCCCTCGCCGGCTCTCGGGCCGGTGCTCTCAATGGTTCGCTTGGATCGTGTTCTTGCCATCAATACAACAATAATTACCTTGCGTTTCCCACAGACGGCCCCAACTGAAGAAGCGCAGAGCTTCCCCGAGGAGAGCTGACTGATCAGCTCGGGGTGTCGATGGGAGAACTGATCCAAGACCTGCAAAACAGAGAAGAGGGGCTAACAAAGGGGCCCCGAGGTGGTCCCCGAGGGCACTCCGACGGCCAAGAGGTCGGCACGCCTGTTAAAGACGGGGGGCTTGACGCTCAACCCAAAAGATCGGCATCACCGTCTTGAAGGTGTGATGCTCGAGCCCAAGAGGTCGGCACGCCGTGACTTACTTTGAGGCAGCTTGTCAAAACCAGGGAGCACGCTGGCTCGGCCCAGGAGGTCGGCACGATTGCCCTGAGAATGTAATGCTCGACCCAGGAGGTTGGCATGACTGCCTGGAAAATGTGATGCTCGACCCCAAGAGGTCGGCACGTCTGCTAAAATCATGGAGTTCAACGCTCGACCCAGGAGGTCGGCATAACTGCCCTGAGAATGTAATGCTCGACCCAGGAGGTCGGCATGACTGCCTGGAAAATGTGATGCTCGACCCCAAGAAGTCGGCACGTCTGCTAAAATCATGGAGTTCAACGCTCGACCCAGGAGGTCGGCATAACTGCCCTGAGAATGTGATGCTCGACCCAGGAGGTCGGCATGACTGCCTGGAAAATGTGATGCTCGACCCCAAGAGGTCGGCACGTCTGCTAAAATCATGGAGTTCAACGCTCGACCCAGGAGGTCGGCATAACTGCCCTGAGAATGTAATGCTCGACCCAGGAGGTCGGCATGACTGCCTGGAAAATGTGATGCTCGACCCCAAGAAGTCGGCACGTCTGCTAAAATCATGGAGTTCAACGCTCGACCCAGGAGGTCGGCATAACTGCCCTGAGAATGTGATGCTCGACCCAGGAGGTCGGCATGACTGCCTGGAAAATGTGATGCTCGACCCCAAGAGGTCGGCACGTCTGCTAAAATCATGGAGTTCAACGCTCGACCCAAGAGGTCGGCATAACTGCCCTGAGAATGTAATGCTCGACCCAAGAGGTCGGCATGACTGCCTGGAAAATGTGATGCTCGACCCCAAGAGGTCGGCACGTCTGCTAAAATCATGGAGTTCAACGCTCGACCCAGGAGGTCGGCATAACTGCCTTGGAAATGTGATGCTCGACCCCAAGAGGTTGGCATATCCGCTAAAATCAGAGTTTGACGCTCGACCCGGGAGGTTGGCGTGACTGCCTTCAAAGTATGATGCTCGGCCACAAGAGGCCGGCACGGCTTGAAATTTTGAAGTCGGAAAGTGCGATGTTCGGCCCCAAGAGGTCGGCACGTTGTGTCCTAACTTGAATGAGTTTGTTTGACCCAAGAGGTCGGCAAGGCTCAAATCTTTAAAAGTCGGGGGCTTAAACCATGTTAGTGTTAATTTGATGCTCGGTCCCATGAGGTCGGCACGCATTGATCAAGTTTGTCGAAACTTGGGAGTTTGACGCTCGACCTAGGAGATCGGCGCGGTTTTCTCAGTGACAGCACTGTACCAGAGGTGACCGGGGCAGAGCAGTGCGCGATGCTGGTCTCCCACGTGACCGAGTATAGATTAGGTTTGCCTGGAAGCCTTACCTAATCTAGGGGGCTAGTGCAGAGGCCCTGTATTGGGCCTAGACACGTGGCAGCCCAGGTATAGCCGAGTTGGGTTCCGGCCCCAAGCTCCTGGCTACCGCCCTGGGCCGCACCCCCGCTAGGGCTCCAGGGGGATCAGGAGACCGTCCCGCAGAGGTCGGAGGAGATCCCGCTCGGCGCGGGATTGAGATTATATCAGGAAGGTCCCGGAACGTACGGAGGTCGGACTCTGGCCCAGGTATAAATAGTGCTACACACCCATTGCCCAAGGTACGCTCGATATAGGCCAATTACCCCCGGCTGTTACCACTCCCCGTGAACCCTACTCACCGGAGAACTAACTTGGCCGTCGGAGTGCCATCGGGGACCACCTCGGGGCCCCTTTGTTAGCCCCTCTTCTCTGTTTTGCAGGTCTTGGATCAGCTCTCCCATCGACACCCCGAGCTGATCAGTCAGCTCTTCTCGGGGAAGCTCTGCGCTTCTTCACTCCTCCTTTTGATCTTCCGTCATCCCGATTCCGCTGCTCAGTATAACGACTTTATCCACGGCTTCAGAGGACATGGCAGCCGTCCGATAAGCCACATAGCCCCCGTAACTGATCCCGTAAATGGAGTACCTGTCCACACCCAGTCTTCTCAAGCCTTCACCTAAGCACCTCGCCTGGAAAGCGTCCGTCCGGTCGGGGTTGCGGGTGTAGGATTTCCCGAAGAACAGGAGGTCGGGTATGTAGAGGTTGAAAGACCGGGCCAGTGTGCCGATTTGGAATAGGAACTGAAACTTTGAGTTGCCCCCGAAGCCGTGGACTAAAACCAGATTGGGCTTGTTGATTTTCCGGTGAGCAGGGGTCCAAAAGTGCAGGGTGGTTTGCTCATCCAGGTCCAGGGTGCAGGGTTGGAGATGGCAATAGCGAAAATAGACGGATAAGATTGAATCGAGCAAGGGGACGAAGATTGGTTGCCATTTGAAGTGGATGAGGGGGTTAAAAATGTTCCGAAGAATGGCCACGTTGATGGATATGTAGAAGGAGAGGAGCTGGTGAAACCAGCAACCCAATAAGTTCTCCATGGCGATAAAAAAGCAAAAGGTGGTTTACGCTTTGACAGTTGGTGCTCGAGGAGGACAGAACAATTTGAATTGGTCGAGACCCAGAGGTTGGTTTTGTCATTTAAATAATTTTATCTTATGAGGGCATTCCGGACTCGGAAGCAAACGGCGCTCAATCATTTTCAATTTTTGTCTTTTTTCAAGGTTGCGTTTGGTGTCGAAACGAATGGTGCGGGACATTGGAGCCGTTTCTCGAAAGGTGCGCGACATTGGACTTCTAGCCTTTGTCGGCCCAACAATCCAAGCCCATGCATCCTCCTATTTTCATCAGACGTAAATTAAGATGGAATATTAAGCTCACACAAACATTATTATTATTAATCCTCTGGTGCAGTTGCAGTAGTACTGTAGTAGTAGGGCTAATTTCTTTGTTTATAGCCGCTTGGGAAAAAAAAAATTTTTAATTGTGGGGCTGCCGACGTTACGCTAAGTCCGGAAACCAATCAGAAGCCTTCCTAACATCCTGCTCTCCCCCCAAAGGTACAATTAGCTTGCTCTCATTACCAAATGGTCAAAGCTAGAAATTTTTAGAGGATAATTTCAAAAACCTCCCTTGAGGTTTTTCACTTAGCATTCTCAAATTAAAAAAAAAAAATGTCACTTAGCATTCTCCTACTTTAAACTTTTTGTAATATTTAAAATCCATTTCAAAATGTAATATTAAAAATCCCATTTTGGGAGAAAGAATACAATTTCATTTCAAATTTGTCCTTTTCTTATGATTTCTTAATACACCAAAATTATTGCTTAAATTTTATAAATTGATCGATATAGTTCTTCAATGAAAACATACACTCTTCGTGTTTAAAAAAAAACTATATTTTGTCACGTCAAAATAATAATATATTTTGCTGACAAAGTATTGTCGCATCAGATTATGCTGTGGTTTTATTATTTTGTGCTTGATTTAGTAATTTTATATCCTACATGCCTCGTGATCACATAAATGAACTAAACCCCACGTGTTTAGGTTCGAATAAGAGTTACGTGCTTTGGTCGAAAATTTTCAAGTACGGCAAGGGAGGAAGAGTAGTAGGCTAAGCAACGTGCTTAGTCAACTCTAGGAAAAAGCACTTGGGATCCTCGGTGACATGAATCCAATGCCAAACCAGTGCCACCTATAATATTGCGCCACTTGGCCTATTATTATTTGCATTTTAATTTTTTAATAATTCAACTTGGTTTGGTTTAACACAAATTTTGTGTTAACTCTAAAACTTTGAACCAAAGTAACCAACCGGTCTAATTCCATTACCGGTGCTTTCATACAGCAACCACTCAAGATCGGTTGCTTTGGGAAAAAGAAAAAGATAACCCTAAACAATTGCCTCCAAAGTTCAAGCCTTCTTATCGTTCATTGCTTAGAACAATCAACCGTAGCCTAATAAGCTAAAACTGCAGCCGCCGACTATTGAAGCAAATTGACTACAAAGATTCAGGAAGTACTCAAATTAAAGCCCAACCATCCCTAGCTTTCTCCAGCAAAGAACAAACCAAAACGTTTCACATCATTCAGGTAATTATCCAACCTTGCATCCGGTTTAAGTCTAGAGTTTTTTCAGCTTCGATTTATTAAATCAATATCACTATTTGCTCCATGATCTTGATTTCGAATTTCAATTTTTTTAATATTAAGAAAGTTAGGAAATAGACAACAACTCGTAAGTTACATAACAACTCATAAGCAATATCACCCTACCTTATGTTATGCAATTTTATATCTTCATTTTCAATTTCCATTAAAGTGAAATTTACATTGAATTGTGAGTTTGGAAAGATTAAATATTAATTGAGTGGTCAAATTGACTACTTACACGTTAATTGTAATATACCTGGAAAATAAGTTACTTTGTGGGATTAAAAAATTATTTATTATTTCAAGAATTGTTATAAATTTTACTAATGTACCAAATTAAAAAAAAAAGATACAAGAAGTAACAATAGCTTTTCTGACTAGTTGCAAGTAGTAGTAGTGAACAAATAGAATTGGAAATTCAACTATTTTAATAAATTATTGAGGGAAAAAATTTGCTTACATTTTTTCCTTATTGTATTGCAATTAACTTGCATGAAATTCTTTTGTTAATTTAGGGTTAATTCAGTCAGGTTTCAGTAAGAAGACTTGTTGAGATTCAAAATAGTAAAATACATCTGGACCTGGTTCCTCTTTTGACCCTATTCCTTGGCGGTGTTTGAGGTTTTAGTCCTTACCATGGGATTAATTTTTCACCAAATTTAAAACCCGTGGTTCCTTAATCGTGCAAGCTGTGTGTCGAATCATTCTACCTGCCTAGGACAAGTTATTTGATGATTCAATTCAACTTTAGCAATTTTCTTATGTTACCAGCTAATTGTTATTGTTCACTCCTCGGAACAGGTCAGGTTGGTGCTATTCAATTGGGCATCAGCCGGGCACTGCAAAACTGGGCACCAGATTTACGTCCTCGTTTGAGAGAAGGTACATTTCCTTGCAGTAATGTTATCTTTATTAATTGGTTTCTTCACCTTGCTGCTTCTTCCACCTAACAATAGGGAAAGACTAGATTTTTGTTTCTTTCTTCACCAAATCTGAATTTTTTTGAGTACAAGCATGCATGTACTGATGTTGAAAACATGATGATTAAATCAAAAGTAATCTATTATTTTGTTTGTATAGTTGTACGTCAAATGTGTGTTCTATTGCGACCTGAAACATTGCCTTCTTGCATTTCACGTTTCGTTGTATGTCAAATTTGGAGCTTTTGACCTTAGTTCTCATTTTTAGGTGGTTTTTGTTGACACGGGATTCGAGGGTTATTGAAAGGAAAAAGCCCGGAAAAGCAAAAACAAGAAGGAGCTTCCAGTGGGTCAAGCGTTAGAGCAAGTCTTGCCTGTGTCATGACTCTTGAAAGGTTGCAGGATATGGATGCTAAGGCTTCTATGGAAACTGAGGTATCATCCTGTCGCAGATTGGATTTTGACAAGGTAGATCAAATTACCAATGATGAGGTTTCCACTCCACCAGTTTTAAATGTGATAAAGGATATAAATAAAATTCATACATTGATTCCTTTTGAACTAATTCCGAAGATGGGCATGGAATTTGAGAGTGAAGAAGATGCTTATAATTTTTACTTAGCATATGCAAAGGAAGTTGGTTTTGGAATCAAAAGAAGTAGCTTCCACAAAGATAGTAATGGTAAGCTCATGGATAGGGTATTTTGTTGTAGTGCTGAAGGAAAACGAGGAAAGGATAAAAGAGATCTCAATGTAAGCGCCCCTCGTCCTGAAACACGATTTAATTGTTCGGCGAAGATGAAGGTTAACAGTAGATAAACTGGTAAGTTTCGTATATGTCAGTTGATCATTGAGCATAATCACTATCTTTCAAGTCCCAACAAAAGTCATTTACACAGATCACATAGAAAGATAAATTCTGTTCATGCAGCTGAAATTGATATGGTATACCGTGTGGGTATAGCACCAAAAATTTCTGATGAACTTATGGCACTACAAGTAGGAGGACGGGAGAACTTAGGTTTCATTCCTGAGGATTACAGGAATTATTTACGTTCTAAACGAACAATACAAATGGAAGTTGGAGATACAGGAGGCGTACTTGAATATTTGCAAAAAATGCAATTAGAGGATCCTGATTTCTTCTATGCAATTCAAGTGGATCAGGATGCTTTGATTACAAATATTTTTTGGACTGACGGATTAATGAGAGCAGATTATGCAAGTTTTGGAGATGTTGTTTGTTTTGACACGACGTATAGAAAGAATATTGAAGGCCGTCCGTTTGCATTATTTGTTGGAGTGAATAATCATAAACAGACTGCAATATTTGGGGCTGCTTTATTATATGATGAAACTGCTTCAACATTTGAGTGGTTGTTTGACACTTTTGTGAGAGCAATGTCAGGAAAAAAACCAAATACTATACTTACGGATCAGGACGCAGCAATGGCTAAAGGACTAATTTCTACATGGCCTGAAACACGTCACCGTCTTTGCATATGGCATATATTTCAAAATGCAGCTATTCATCTCAGTCATGTGTTCGAAAGTTTTAAACAATTTGCGAATGATTTCAGTAAATGTGTATATGATTTTGATGAAGAAGAAGACTTTATATCTGAATGGAATACTATGTTGAAGAAGTATGGACTTGAAGACAATGATTGGTTAAAACGTATGTTTGAGATTAAAGAAAAATGGGCATTGGTGTATGGAAGAGAAACATTTTGTGCAGATATGACAACAACTCAAAGGAGCGAAAGCATGAATAGTGTGATAAAAAGGTATGTAACCTACAAGAATAAATTTCATGAGTTTTTCAATCATTTTGAGAGGTTAGTTGATGATCGTAGATATAAAGAACTTCAAGCTGACTTTAGAGCATATATGAGTACTCCAGTACTACCATTTGATGTTGATGTTTTGAAACAAGCTGCAAGTGTTTATACTCCTGAAGTATTCAAATGGTTTGAAATTGAGTGGGGTAAATCTTATGATTGTGGTATAATCACCTACAGTGAGGTTGGAACAGTGACAGAATATAAGATCACTCCTAAAGGCAGAAAAAACTATCATATGGTTAGATTTGATTCAATAGGTGATCAGACTTCATGTAGTTGCAAGAAGTTTGAATTCTCTGGGATTTTATGCTCTCATTCTCTGAAAGTTCTTAATATAAGAAATATCATGAAGATCCCTAGTCAATACATAATAAAGAGATGGACCAATAAAGCAAAAGCTGGATATGTTAAAGACAACAATTGTTGCAATATCAATAATGATTTGGATCCGAAAGTGGCTTTTACGAAGCGTTACAGAGATTTGTGTAGACTATATACTCAATTGGTCACAAAAGTTGCTCAAGCAGAAGAAACTTATAAAATTGCTAAAGAAGGCCTTTTGAAAATATTGGATTTGGTTGATGCAAGGTTACATCAAGAGGGGTCGAGCAATGAGATGTCAAATGCAGCAAAAGTTTCCAACCCCACAAATAACACTACTAATGCAAGTGGTATCAATATCAAGGGTATTAAAAAAAAGATGATGACTATTTCAGGCAAGAGATTGAAGAGTAGTCTAGAAAAGGCTACTAAGAGAAGAAGATCAACCAAAAAAAGTTTGCAAAATAGTATAACTATGGAGTTGCCAGCGTCATCACATAATGAGGTTTTATTACATTATAAGTTTACTATATTTGTAATTCAATATTTTCTTATATTATGCATCCAATCTTTGTTTTTTCTTTTCATTAGCCTATAGGAGATACTACACCGGTAATTTTTTAGTTTCTTATTTGCATAAAATTATTTTATAAAAATTTTATGTTTTGGTTTGTACTAAAGTTCATGAATATTTTTCACTTTTGTGGTTGATAGTTTGTGAATTTGGATGTTAATCAACAAAATTATGGCCAGCTATGCACTTTCAGTTTCATGAACATGACCGGCTTGCTCAAGGTAAATTATTACAGTTGTGATCATGAATAATTACTTCTTTAAGAAAAGATTGTTTATTGTCTTTTTTTATTCATCCATTTATTTATGTGTTCAATTTTTTGGTGATATAATTCTAACCATAGGCACAAGAATTACATGGTTTCGAAGGAGTGAAAATAAATCAGTTCGAGTTGAATGACAACTCTTGCACTATGGGACAAGAGATTGGAGTTGATTGCAATGATAGGTGTGGTTGTCCAGTTCCATGCAGCAATGATATTTCGTGCAAGTGTTCAAGTGGACAAAAGACCTGAAAATTTGACAAAAATTGACAATGGAGCTTTTCGTGCTTCCCAAAATTAATGCACATTCTTCTATATAGAATATATGTTTCAATTGACATTAGTACTGAGGTTTTTAGATCTTTCATTTGAACACTTTGTTACCATTCCAAAATTCAATATGACATTTGGATACTGTGGAATGTGAAGAGGCTTGGAAACCATAGTATCATCGACTATCACCTCTCTTGACATAAGTTTATATTTTCAATTCTGATAATGGACACAACACAAGCATAATAATCCCTGTAAAACATTAATTATTTAGCATGAACTTCAATTTAACTGAAACAAAAGCTGACATTGTTCATTTTGCATGCAAATAGCGAATATGGAGTGCATACAGTAAACAAAGGGATAAAAACTTCACGCCGAGAAAATGCAGTCTACTCTTACATATCTTGTGTCATAAAATATAATTGACTTAGATGCTATGCTCTGACAAAGAACCAACAGGACAAAGTTCTTGTTGCAATTTCCCTGCTGCTCATGTTTCTGCTTCATATTCTTCAAAAGAGAAGGATGTCTTGGAACAAGACTACGCCACTCTTCTTTGTCAATCTTTCCATCATGCTTGGTATCAGCTTCCTCAAAGGTCTGAAAACAGAAAATGAATTAATATATTAGCTTCTTGCTCCAAGAAAGTGTTCCAAATAACTTCTAAGAATTTCCTGGAAACGGATGCAAAAAAGGTAAATGCTTGTCTTATCAAGAACAAAAGGCATGAGTTACTGCAATCGTTAACAGAGCATCATGAACCATTTCCCTATAGAAACAACTATAGATAATAGCAAATTTTTCTGCATTGCAAAATATCAAAACTTTGCTGTTATATTTTCTAAACTATTCAGCAAGTGTTGCGACTACCATTTGTTTTACCTACAGTGAGATCACCAAAAGTCAAGTTCCTTCCAACAAGGCAAAGACCACAAAAGAAAAATGAAAGGGTGAAAAACAAAGGATTCCACGATATTTAGAATACGTCAAGGAAAACTTTGAAATTCATGCAACAACCACCTCTGAATTATGAAAAGTAAACCAAAGACATTAAGGTTAATTACAAATAGATTAAACAAAGACATCACAAACTTAACATAACCATTCAACTAATTCTAGTCATGGATTTAACTAGGATCATTCTATAAGTTGCAACATAAAGGGTGTTACAATTGATAAAAAAAAGAATAGGTTCCCTATATTTCTCCTTTGCATTTGTTCTCCCTATACAACTGATACTAGACTGCATTACAAAACCAAGTACCTACTTAACATCTCCCTGGCGTGTTATAATTTCAAAACCAAGTACACTTCTATTTCTTTCGTTCTTTCTACAAGCAACAAACTGTGAGCAAAAAGATTTGCTGCATGACAAAGCTATAATAATGGAGCATTTCATCTAACTTTCTTCCAAGCAACTGAAGAAAAGAAAGACAAAATTCCAAGCCGAGAAAAACCATATATCATCATATACTTGTAACGATTGATGGTTGCTAGGGTGCTTCACATTTAATTGTAGAAAAACTATAACTTCCTTACAAATCATAAACAGACAAGTAAAATATAACACAATGATACTCAAAACCGAAAATGGGCATAGAAATTTCAGCAATTCCCTACTCAAATGAGGTCTCGGTTAGCTCAAAATTGTTCACTCAACAAGAGATTTCGGTCCAATTCAGCATATAAGGCACATACAATCCAAAATTGTGAACAATTAATAGGAAAATTGTAGTGAATAACGGCTCGGCAGACTGCTTTGTGAGCTTGACAAGAACTGAAATTTTTAAAGAAAAGGACTTACAATGCTCTTGCATTGAATGGCGGCAATGGTGGATTCCGGCTCTTTCTCAGCCGCACGCCTCTTCGTCCACCGCCATCCTTTCTTTCTCTGTTTCTTTCTGCCGTCATCCCCTCTTCCCTTTCTTGGTTTTTTTTTTCAGACGAAGTCCTCAGTTCCTCTGTTTTGCTTGCTCCTTTCCATCCGTTTTACGCTACTCGGAATTCCTCCTCCAAATTCCAGATTTTTCCCCTTTCCTCCGTTCTTTCAACTCTCCATCCGCCGCCCCTATTTCCTTCTCTGTTTTTTTTCGCTCAGCCCCAAAATATCTCCCCTGTCGCTTGTTTCCTTTTTCTTTTGCTCTCCCCAAAGCTCCTCCGTTCGCCGCCCTCCTTTTGCTGTCACCTCTCCCTCAATCTTTCTTTTGCCCTCAACTCTCTCGGTCTCTTCTCCTTTAGGCTCTCCGTCCGCCGCCCGTTTCTTTTATTTTCTTTCCCTTGGCTCCCAGACGAAGTTCCCCTCTGCTTTTTCCAACCCCTCTTTCACCTTCCCTTCTAACCGAAGTCCTCTTGCTCTCTTTTTCTCTCCTTTTTCTTGTTCCCCCTTTTTCTTCCCTTCTACAAACTCAGCCATGAAGTACATGGTATACCTGCCAGTGGAGATCTCGAAAGAGAAGGGCTTGTTAAGGACGTCCTTGGTGCCTTTGACGGTGAGGCAATCGGCAGTGAAGGTGATGCCACGTGGAATGACGGAGCCGGTGGTGGAAATAAAGAACGACGACTCTGAAGATGTGGACCTCATCAGAGTGGAATGGAGATGTTGAAGGTAATCAATGATGAAAGCACCAGTAATGGAATTAGACCGATTGGTTACTTTGGTTCAAAGTTTTAGAGTTAACACAAAATTTGTGTTAAACCAAACCAAATTGAATTATTAAAAAATTAAAATGCAAATAATAATAGGCCAAGTGACGCAATATTATAGGTGGTACTGATTTGGCATTGGATTCATGTCACCGAGGATCCCAAGTGAGGAAAAAGAGTTTGAACCAACATAAATCAAGTACGACACCCTTTGCTTAGCGGCATCCAACTCTGCCAGAATCAACGACCAATCGTTTGATTGTTTGGCTGGCCGGAATCGCTTAAAAAAAATACCTCATTCATTCAATACAAACAGATCTGAATTTGCAATGGCTTGTCATTTTCTCTCAAAGACAAAGTATGACCGCAAACGGGACGCCCCCACCATGTGCATGCTACACTAGTACTGTCTTTTGATCCCAATCTCCCAACTAATCAGACTTAACCCCCTCCTCCTCCTCGTATTTGGCTGAAAGATTATATACACTACGTACTAATCGACTAATTGCGAAACTGAAGTATGCTAGCGTCATTAATAGTAGACTGGAGATCCATGATTAGAAACTCAGCCACAGACTACACAATTGTAGACAGTTTTGAGGATCATAATAAAATCAGGAGGATCACAATGCACAAGAACAAGATAGATGGTATAACCTTGCTGCCTTTCCTGGTTTTCAATTTCCTTAATTTTGTGACTTATGGGCGGCTACTTTCGTTGCCTGCTAAACGTGTACCTGGAGAAACTCCAACTTAAACAACATAGAAGCCATGCTATGCTGTGCTGAGAAATTGCCCATGATGCACATATCAATTCACCAGTGTTAAGCTAAAGATTGGTCTCCAGAAAACTATTTCGAAGTTGCTATATACTTCCAAATATATCACAGGAACATAGAAGTTGCAATCGTGTGGAAGACTAGTAATGCATATTAGTACAACCTCACTAGTAGCATAATTTATTGTGTACACCTACTAACACAAGCTGTTTCCATGCCGCAGCTACCGCGGCAGCTATAGCACTTGCTCTTGAATTCTTATTCAAGAATTCATCATTTTCAATATTCAAGAATTCAACATCAGAAGCATTAATTGGTGCAGCTAAACATTTTCAATGCTGTTAATGGTTGCACCACAATAATACTTCAAATTGCTGACTTCTTTGCTAGCTGGCGGTTACGCTTGTTGAGGATGCTCACCTCGGCCATGGTCCTCTCCACCACGTTCGTCATAAAGGTCGAGGTGATGTCCCTTGGACATCCTCCTGGGTTCGGCCTCCATCTCTGGTCTACGGCATGGATAATCTCCGCATCTTAGGTTAGGACTGTCAATGGGGTTGGGCCAGAAAGCCTGATGAGCCCGATCATTTAGTGAGCCCGATAATTTAGTGAACCCGATGAGTCCGATCATTTAGTGAGCCGGTCTGACTTTGAGCCTAAAAATTAGGCCCGAATTAAATGTGAGCCAAACTTGGACCTTATTAGGCTCAAACCCGATATAGGGCCGACCCTTTAATTACCTATATATATAATATTTATATTTTGATATTATGTATAATTATATATCCAAATATATTTTTACTAAATACTAAATATAAATATAAATTACAAAACATAAAAATACATTTAAAGACTCTTTCATGAGCTTTCTTGAGAGCCAATATTAGTAATGCATAACTAAATCTCTAATTTTTCTTATTGGTTGGATAAATTTTTGTATTAACATATTATTGGTTGATTTTTTTTTTGTCTACAAACACAAAAATCATCAAGCATATTTGGATTTAAATCACAAGATTATAAAAAAAAGTTTCAACTTTTAAAGATGTATTGGCTTATGATCGCATGTTTTATTACTATTTTTCATGCATTTTAAATGGATTAAATATAAATATTGTTGAAAAAATTTTTGGTTTATATACTTTTTAAGAACTATTATTTGTTCATGTTTAGTTTAAATATTATAGTCTTGTAAATGTTAAATTAGTTTTACAACTTAATAGTTATAGTAATTATATTAAGAAAATTAAAGAGTAATAAGTGAATTTGGGTTAAATCCGATTAAGGCTCAAAACCCGAATATTATGTGAGATGAGTATGAGTTTCACATTTACGAATTCGAAACTCATAACCCGAAACCCGAAAATGTTTCAAATTAAATGAGTTGAATTTGAACTCATCAAAGTCCGGCTCATTAGGCCCGATTGACAGGCCTACCTTAGGCCTTCCATTTCGGCTGCACGCCGATGAGGCCAGTTTACCTGACACAATGCGGGACCAGTGCTTTATCTGAAAAGCACCTGAGGCCCTTAAATGACTATTGTACGGAACCTCCCGTCAGCATGTCCAGGCTGCTACAGTGTCAGAATCAGATTCCCTGGTA